AGGCTAAAAAATAATTTTTTTCAAATTTTTATTTTTAAAAAAAACGCCGGGCCGGGTATTTTTTAATTAATTCATTCATTAATTCATTAATTCTCGAAACTAGATCGAGAAATAATCGTCTTCAGTTAATTTGAAAGGTTGAAGACCTAGATAAATATCTATGGTTGAAGACAACGCTATTTTAAACAGCATGAGTATTTAGAATATCGTCTTTACTTTGGCGATAAAAATATAAGGGCGGGAGGGGAGGACGGCAATCCACATCAAATTGTCGTCCGAGCCCCCTCGAAACTCTCGTCCTTCCGTTATTATGTTTTTTAAGTGTCCAATCCTCGAAATAAAGAAAATAGAGCCACGTTAGATAAAATATGGTTGGTTGAACTAAAGTATTGCAATGATTACATCATTTTGAAACCTTCGAATTGATGAGAATGATGTCAAACCGTATTTAAGTAAAAATCAAATATATTCTGCAAACGTAAGGGTTAATCATAAATTGCAAAATATATATATAAGTTCTGAGCTTCTGCCATTCTTTATTTTTTGGAATAATCCGAAAAAAATCGATGGTTTTCAATATGATTAACAAAAGAAGATTTAAGTTTTCTATGAACTTGGATTAATGTGCGGCATTCTTTAATAGGAATATCTAAAAATGCGCGAAAAAATTAAAAAGTAATAAAATTTAAACGTGGCCGGATTGTGAAAAAAAAATTCTTCAAGAAAAAATAACATGGAAAAGAAGAGAATTTCGAGGTGGCTAGGACGAGAAAATGAGGAGACGGACAAGAAAATGTTCTGACTGGCCTTCCTTCCCTCAGCAGATTGAGAGGTTAAATTAAGATGAGGGGAGGAAGGGAGAATAATAGTGAAGGGGGTCAACATGGATATCAAGGGGGGGAGGGGAATTCAATGACCTTCAAATAATATTTAATACGTCATGAATGAGACTAATGAGGTACAATAGTCAGGATATTATTAGATCATACAGAGTGTCCCAAAAAACATGGGAATTCAGTGACGAATTCGATATCGTCTTTGTTATATCACAAAGTCTAATGATTATTCAATTACTGACTCATTATACTAAATCCATCTTAAAATCACTCATTAACCAATAATCATTATATACTTTGTGATATTTCAAGATGCAATACTCAGTAAAATTTGTCAAAAATTTCATTATAAAACAGTGTAAGAATTCAACACACAAAATATTAATCTTAAGTAGAATTGAAAAGATGGTTAGAGTTGTGTTTTTTTTTGCGTGACTTGGCTGAATTTTAAAAAATCACACTTTAAAGGCTCATTGCTGCCGGAAGAGAAAAAAGCTAATATGTGGTACTGAAGGGGAAATAGTGGTGGCTCATGGCCGCCTGCCTTCCCTCGCTCGTACAACCGTATGCAGTCAAAACATGAACAAACAAACTGTGAACATAGCAGACGAAACTCTTACAGATTACAGCTTTCTCAGTAGGTATCACTATACTAAATCAAAGAATTATTTGAAAAGACGATATCAAATTCGTCACTGAATTCCCATGTTTATTGGGACACCCTGTATATAAAACAAAGAACAGAGATTAGAATAAAAGGGAAATAAGACTAATCCTTCCGTAAGCCTGAAAAGGAGTTCAAAGTGTTCTGTTCTTGAAAATATGTTCACAAATTAAACTTAGTACATCACAATAATATAGTACAGCTAAATCATAAATGAGCCATTCATCGAAAGAATTTATCAAATGTCGTCTTGACACTTTTTCAATGAGTTTTATACTATTTTACGTAAATTTCAGTGTTTGCGAAAATAAATAAATAGCCATGAATATGCGGAGCAGTTTAAAGAGCTCCATATAATCATTTAATTTAAAAAAAATATCTGCAACATTCCACTATCAGAAATTAAGTGAAGCATACGACATTTGATGAATTCTTTCGATGTATGGCTTTATTAGGATTTAACTGTATGATCCCTAGCCATACAGGGTGTCCCACGAAACATGACAATTGATAAATATATATGAATGTCGTCTTCCATATACTGTATTAGGTATTAAAGGCTTTGTGTAGTTTATTTCGTTAAAAAAATCTTTTGCTTGAATATATTTTACTTTACGAAACTATGATGCTTAATGTTCTCATTGTAATTGTAAAGAATTTGGGTAAAAATGATAAAATTCCCTTTAAACGTTGTAAAATGAACAACACAAAATAAGTTTTTTTTAAAAAGTTTTTTGTCATATCTTTATTAGAGTTTGACATAAATTTCCTTTCGTAAACGATTAGCTTTTGTATGAAATTTCAAAAAAAAATTTATTTATCGGTTTGATAATTTTCTGATGTTCATCTCTATCTCTTTATATCTAGGATATCAACTAAAATCAATCTGCACGCTATTCAGAGATTTCTTTCAGTTCAATTAAACATCTCAACCTTACATTTAATAATATAATTTTATATAATATTTAATACAGGTATTACAGTTAAGGTCGTCATTAAGTTTAAAAATAAACTAATTGAGTCTGACTCTGTGCAACGAACTCAAATGTGTTAATCCCTATATATCTTTGCAGTGTAATGGTGTAAACATTTAATATTTCAAACTTAGACAATTTTATCTAATATAATTCACAGTTTGAAATATCTAAGGTGTACAAAATAGGGTTGCCAGGGGTAAAGGGATAAGAAAATCAGAGTTTGTGGTAAAGACTCAATAATTCCTTTGTGAAGTATTTTTCAGTTTCATTATTTGATATAAACCGTAAAAATTTGGTTTTAAAGGGACTGCTTGATGATTTCAAGTGACCCTTCATGCAAAGATGACAATGGCCGAGTTTAAACAGTGTTTTTCCAGCCACCCACCTCCCGATGGTTTCTTCTGAATAACTTAAAAACGACTTAAATTAGAATTTTAAAACTTCTTCACTTTTTCAACATAATAGTTGTAACCAAATTTTGCAAAAAAAAATTTTGTTTAAAAAAAATAGAAATAGTTAATAACTTTTTTATTAATTAAGCTACATGACTAAGACATATATATTTAAACCTCTTGAAAAATATATATAATAACAAGTGTCATATGTTAATATTTGTTAAAAGTAAAAATAACTTTTTTTGAAAATTTGTTCCACATACTTTTTGAACTTTTAAAAAATCCCCCCTTACACCCCAACCATTAAAGTTAGAGGTCTATTTTTTTAAAGAGCCGGCTTTGAAAATTTGGACAAAGGACAAAATTATGGGGGGGGGGGTTGAAATATCCCCTCCGCCCCCCTTCTATATTAGACAAAAATAGCCCAATCGGGATATGATTAAAACTTTTATCTGATCAAAAATGTGGAAGATATTTCTAAAGTTTTTTTTTATGTTTTTCTAGGTTTAAAAGTATTTAATTCTAATAATTCCTACATGCTTACCTGAAAGTCATTTACATAGAGAAACCACAATTGTAAATAATCAGTTTTCAAATTTATAAACGTTGATAACTATAATTCAGACTAATTCATATTCAAACTTTTCATGTAACGTTGTGAATCTTTCCATGGAGTGCCATTAAAATTACGCGTACAGTCCCTTGAAAGGGATATATGAGAATTTTGAAATTACGCTTTCAGTCCCTTTAAGGGGGAATAAGAAAATCTTGAAAAGATTGTCTAATACTAACATCAACCTTGACAAGAAAAAGAAAAGGTTTTCTTTGTGTTGTGAGAAACTATAATTTAAACCATCTTGTTTTTAAGTTTAACTGAATGGCTCCAAATTTCTACAATCCTCGAGAGCTCGCATTGAGTAAAAAGAAACGAAATAAAACGAAAAGAGACAAGGAAAGAGAAATGGAGAAGAAGTAAGTAAAAAACAACTTTGAGAGATTTTACTCCTCTTTAAATTCACGGAAACATTAAAGGGAGAGACATAAAAATAAACTCGATCAAATATAAGAAGACATTGGTAGAATTTATTAAATGTCGTCTTGCAGATTATTACTGTGGTTTGCCGCTGAGACTTATATGACATGAAGGATTTGTACGTAAATTAGCGCCCAATCACATGAAGCTGTTTTGACAGCATGGTTTATGCATTCTAAGGATATTTACTAATCCAGTCAAATAATAAATTTTGAAAATTTTGATTCACGATAAAAACTTTGACTTTAAGCAAAAAGAAATTTGGATTATGTTTACAAATATAGCTGTATAGCTGAGAGCGGAAAACTTTGATCGCTTTGGAAAATACAACTGACAGCTTCAAATTCAAATTCAAGGCGACATTACATAAATTCTTCGACGTCTTCTTGTACAGGAATTTCACTGTATTTAAACCGAGCGTGCAGTATTATAGAGAACAAATTTTAAATGTGTCGCTACAATACTGCACTCTTGGTTCAAATATGTTACCTAGCCGGTCTCTCCCTTTGATAAAAAAGTTAATTTTCAAGGAAACAATACAAAGTGAAGCAAATCTTAGATCTGTTAATTAATCTGGAGATTAAATACAAGATGAGAACCAGACCAATATTTAATCTGGAGATTAAGAAAAAGAGAGAATCAAGCATTGATCTTGATATCCCTATTCTAAAGTTTTCAGAGCTGAAAACTTTAGATCGGGGTATCCTTAATCCCGATCGGTTATTTAATCTGGAGATTAATAACAAGAGGAGACAAGTATTATTTAATCTGGAGATTAAGAAAAAGAGAAGATCAAGCATTAATCTTGATATCCACCATTCTAAAGTTTTCAGCTCTGATTATGCAAGTAGAACATTTTTTATCAAGTTCTTGGAAAATCATATTTTCATCAATATTACAAGGTTTTGTTTGCACGATTAGATTGAAAATATCAAGCTTAAAGTAGTAATGTCAAAAACATCTTTAGAAAACTGAGATTCATACATCAATTACTCTAATAAAAACCAAAATGGAGTACAGGGTTTCCAAAACATTTTTTTTTTTACTTTAGAAATATTTAAGTTTTAACTTACATTTTACAAATTCAGGGAAAACGAAGAAGAAGGTTTAACTAGTGAGGAGGATGAAATTTTATCAAAAAAGGTAAAATGTACAGGGTGAGTCAAAAAAGTGTGGTTTACGGCGCCTGGTGCAAAATTGTACCTTTTTTGTGCAACCCTCCTTAATGGTGTTTTTTCAATATTTTTAAAAATTTGCAGTTCCAATGGCCGAAAAAAAATCCAAAAAACCTTTTTTTCTCACAAAATCAAAAGTTCAGAGAAACAAAATGTGTAAATGAATTATTTCTATCGAAATCCAAAATTTTAAAAAGATTGAATCACAGAATCGCAGAAAATTTGCAAAATTGTAATAAAAAAATGCAATTTTCAGTTTTGGTCTTATTTTTACTGAAAATTTTTTCTTAAGGTTTCAATTAAACAACGTATATTTAATACTTTAGAATATACTAAGAATAAAGAAACTAGAGAATTTAAATAACTTTTCCTTAAAAATTAGACCAGAACTTAAAATTGCGAATTTTCTTATTATACAATTTTGCTAATTTTCTGTGATTCTGTGATTCAATCTTTTTGATGTTTTAGATTTCGATGGAAGTAATTTTTATACACATTTTAGCTTTTCTGAACTTTTGATTTTGAGAGGAAAAAAGGTTTGCGGATTTTTTGGGGGGCCGTCGGAGTACCAAAAAAAATTACAAATTTTCAAAAAATATTGAAAAAATACCATACAGAAGAGTTGCACAAAAAAGTACAGTTTTGTACTAAACGCCGCAAATCACACTTTTTTGACTCACCCTGTATAATAGTGGAGATTTGAAATTTATAAAAACGACTTCTGCCATTATCGATATTGTGGTTTTTTAGATCAATATTCATAAATTTTATCTTTATGAGCTTAAATTGATTTTATTGTATAAAAAAAATTGAGTCTTTGGCACAAGCTTAAATTTTCTAATCCCTAAATCTTTCAAACTATGAATTCAAAAACCAGCGCGTTTACTCCATCAGGTTGAAAAGATATAGGGACTAGAAACTTTACGTTTGTTGCAACGACTCTATTTCGAAAATTTCAGACTATGGTTAAACTTCCTGTAAAAAGTGCAGTGGGCAGAGAGAGTAGAATACGGCAAATGCAAAATCTCCCAATGTCGTCAGATAAGACTTTAGCAGCTAGACTAGCAAACCTTGGGCCTCAGGTGTAACAAGTTTATTTATCATTCAGAGTGTTCCAAAAAAAATGAGAATCATGTGACTGTCAAAAAGTGGTCTGCCATTTTCGTGCCTTAAAAATTAACAGAGAAAATATATTGTTTAAATATCAAAGAAAGAAAATTTCTGATCATTGAATATCTTTATTTTTAATTTTTTTAAACAAATGTAATATACACTATTTTGGAAAAATCAAAAGCTACATACGATATTTTTAGATATTTTTAGTATTTAGAATAAAAGTTCAAAATTGCCAATTCTCACACTTGCGCTTCAAAAAATAATTTTCAAATATTCTTAACACAATTTTGTCAGGTTAAAAAGGATGATATGGGATCAAACACTTGGATGGCTTTACGTAAAAGACTGATTTCTGCGAAAATGAAGGAAGCATTTTCCAACAGTTACCTTCAGGTTAACATTTTCCAACAGTTACCTTCAGGTTAACATTTTCCAACAGGTACCTTCAGGTTAACATTTTCCAACAGATACCTTTAGGTTAACATTTTCCAACAGATACCTTCAGGTTAATATTTTCCTACAGATACCTTCAGGTTAAAATTTTCAACAGTTTGCAGTTAGGGTAATATTTTTTAATAACTTAGGTTTATATTAGATATCTTATTTAAGATTGTTTTGAAATTATCTTAATTTTAATTTTTTTAATTTGATTTTGATCGGAGTATTGAATTCTTTAGTTTAGACAAAAAAACTTTTATCCTTTTACTAAATCTTGAAACATTATTAAACAAAACATGTAGATTATGAAATGTATCTAGCTACACTGCAGATTTCTTGTTATGCATAGATATATTGCTTTAATAATTTTAGTATTGTGTATGGTAAAAAAAGCAAAAAATATCAATAAAGCAAACAAAATAATTTTTTGTAAAAAAAGTTAAATTCCTTTAAAAAAGTATGCCAATTACACTATTACAATGGTTAAAAAAATGTTATTATGCCAATAATAATTGAAGATCCTTTTTAAACCTTATTATTTGACTTAAAACTTTGAGTTACATTCTAATATTCTTTTATTTGCAGATGACTAATCCAAATGTTTAGATAAATGGTGTTAAATACACGATCATAAAGAAAGTTGGTGATGGCGGTTTTAGCAGTGTATATGAGGTAATATTATTTTTTTTAAATAACTTATTTTTGCCATCTTTCTACAAAAATTCCTCTCAAGATAAGGTTATGTAAAATTTGTCTCACAAAAAGATGTTCCCTAATCTCAAGATCTCAATGAAATGTAATAAATCTTTGAATTTTTTAGATCTAAAATGTTTTTCTTTCTGTACGTCTGTTTTCTTTAAATGTCCGATCTTTAAAATGTCTATTTTCCATCTATGAAATGTCCATCTATAATATGTCCATCTATAATATGTCCAACTATGAAATGTTCATCTATGAAATGTCCACCATTGAAATTTTTTTGTTTTAAAATTGTGGTTTATGAAATTTCCAACATCTGTATTTATAGTAACTGTAAAAGTATATAGGTCACCCTCTATTTAGTAAGTGGCATAGGCCTACCCAATTTACAATGATACACTTAATAGCTTTGTAGGCACTAGGCACAAACACGAATAAGATATCCATTTTTTTTCTTTGCCAATTAACTTGAACGACAGAGAAATTGTAAGAAAGGTAAACGGAATTTAAGTCAGAAAACGACGATATCTTCCAATTTATTGATTGTTTATTTTTATTTATTTATTGATTAAAAAGGTATCAAGATTCAACGGTACTGTTGAAAATCGGGCATGCCACTCTAAAAATGGACGCTCGCTTGAAATTAATTCTATGGTCACTTAAAAAAAAATTTACTTTTATTTATAAATGAATTGAGTTTTTGCCACAAACTCTAACTTTCTAATCCCTTTATCTTTGCAATCTGCTGGTGTAAACCTTTGTTATTACCAACTAACTTGATCTAATAGAATTCATAGATTGAAATATCTAAGGTCTACGAAATTGGGTAGCAAAGATATAGGGGTTGGAAAATCAGAGTTTGTGTCAAAAACTCAAATCCTGTGTAGGTGTATAACGAGGAAAGGAACTTGTTTGCAGTGAAGGTTGTGAACCTGATTACTAAGGACGGATTCACGGATAAGGATCTTATGCATGAAATACATCTGCTCAAAGTAAGAACTTCAATTTTTTCAGATTAAAACACGAAGACGCTCTGATTTTCCAAAAAAAAAATTTAGAAAGATGGTGAAATTAAAGTTTTAGACAAAACGATATTAGTTATATAAACATCATCTTATCTATATACATATATAAAGTAGTAATCTCAGTTTGTGTGTTTATATGTCCAATCATAATTAATGGCAACCTGTTAGCCAATTTGCCTCAAATTATGATTTGGGAACCCGGTAGAACCCCAAGAATGCTATTAGCTCAGTTTAAAAGTTTAGCAGATTGACTTATAAAGTGAAAACTAAATTTTCTGGCAAATCTGGTCATAACTGTATTCCGTTGAGCCAGACAAATATCTTCAAATTGCGCTAATATGTAATTGTAACAAATCTTTAATCTGCAAAGCATAAGCATGTCTAAAGAAACTATAGAGAATAGAATATATATTAGAGGGAATTTAGAGAATCTCTCGGTATGAATTTTTTCAGTTCCTTTCAGCCTGATAGTGAGTTCAAAGTGTACCAGTCATGTAAATGCTCACAAATTATATGCAGTAGAGTACATTAATTTAGTATAGACTATTCATTTCAATTTCGAATTTTTTAAAACTGCTAAATAACTTTATAAAATGAATTAGGTGAATAAAAAACATCATTTGATTTATAGTTATAACGGAAAATCATCGTTTGTAAAGTGAAAGGAATAGAGTCTATGTGAAATGATCATTGGTCATCCAGCCTATTTCATAATTTGGTTTTCTTTTAGCATTAGTTTTAGATTTTCTAAAATGATGTTCCAGGGCCCAAAAGGTTATATAGCACAAATATGTGAAGTAAACCTGCAGTATGGAAACAGTACAACAAAATGGCCGTTTTACACTTTTTTCTAGTAAATTCCCCTCTAATATATTTTCTATTCTCTTTGATAGAAACGTTTTTGAATTTTCTAGAGCCTACAGGACTGTGATAGAGTGATCAATCTGAAAGACTGGGAACACAGATTAACAGGTAAGATATATTTATTGAACCCGGTCCTGTCTGGGCTATTTTTCTAATTTAGGCTATGCAGGAAGAAAAAAAAATCAGCAAAATTTGTTCACAATTATGATGTTGAAAAGTGAAGACTTTTAAGCCTACTAATGTAAACCGTTTTAAAGTTATTTAGAAAAAAACACGCCCCCTCCCCCCAAGCCGTGATCAGGGTTAAAGGGATTGTTCCCAAATTTAAATTTATAATCTAGATGAAGAGGATATGCTGTATGCAGTCCTAGAACGAGGAGATACAGACCTTGCTCAGATTCTCAGGAATTCAAGTTAAGTTCAAATTTGAAACTAATTTCTACTGGCCTTAACAGGACTGTGGATTTACTTTTAAAGTGTTATAAAAAATTGCAACCATCTTAAAATGTGTAAGCTTAAAAATTACAGTATTGCCTGGTTTTTGTAATTTGATCTAATAATTTCAAATTACAAATTATAATTATTTAAAATATGACTTATCTATTGGGAATTAATTTTTACAGTGGTAACCAGAGGACATTAGAATCTGTATTGGCTTCCTTTAAAACTAAACGTCAAATAAAAAGAAACATTTTTACGGGACCTATGTGGGTATCCTGGCTAAAAATGTTCGAATTTTTTACTTCAAAATTTAAATTTGGTCATCATTTTTCTTTTTTTATCTAGCGCTTCAGCTAGTTATTTCTATATAATAAAACCTCGCTCAGATATCTTATATGTTAGCTAAAATTAGCCAAACGGCTGGATCTATTTGGTTGACATTTGGTTTTAGGAAACCCATGGGCTATGGCTACACTGGGTGTAACAAAGGCTAACAAAATCGATTTATTTTTCAAATTTCAATATTTTAAATTCGATTTTTTTTCTAAGTTCGAAATTGCTTTTATTATGTTTTTAAAATTTCACTATTTTCTTGGTAACATTTAATTCTATTTTAGAGATAAGGAGCATTCTCTGTCCCCAGTTCAAACCAGATTCTACTGGGAGCAAATACTTCTGGTCAGAAAATAATATTTTTCATAATATATTTTGTTTTTTTTTGCAAACACCGCCGTTAAAGCAACCTTCCACTCTGAAAATATAGAGCTAACATCTGCTTTACAGAGGTTTGGTCTATCACCATCACCGAATTTTAATACTTGAAATTTGTATTTTAAAATTTGAAATTTGTAATTTAAAACTTGAAATTTGTATTTTAAAACTTGAAATTTGTATTTTAAAACTTGAAATTTGTATTTTAATACTTGAATTTTATATTTTAAAACGGCAAAACAAATATTGTTTGTTAAAAATATTGATCCAAATATATAAATTGAATATTTGCAAAAATATATCGTATTTAAGTTTGCATTTAATCCTTACCTAAAAAGATGTTTAGATGTATTTGTGGTAAAAGCAACTGTTCTTAACTTGAACAACCTTTTTTATTTTGCGATCAAGAAAATTGAGCCATTACCCCACAAGATTTAATTTTATAATCAGTTTGCCAAGATAAATGGATTCAAAAATTTGAATTTGTGGTCGATAACGATTAATTCCTTTAGATATAAAATGATTTTTATTTCAGGCTGTGGCTCAAGTTCATGAGAAAAGGATAATTCATCTTGATATTAAACCAGATAATTTTCTTTTGGTTCAAGGAGTTCTCAAAATTATAGATTTAGGATTGGCAAAACTTCTTCCTCCAGGCAAAAATTACATAGGTATAAACATTATGATTTTTTCCCTGTAAAATATTGCTAAAGAGTACACCCAATGCATGGGTGTAGTTTACGACCATAGATTTTGTGTTTTTAGTATTTAACGTACATCTTCTATTTATAATTAATCTTCGCTCATATAAATATTTTTTTTTCAAAATAAAATTTTTTAAAATTTTTTTTTTAATTTTAAATTTTTTATTTAATTTGAAATTTTTTATTTAATTTGAAATTTTTTATTTAATTTGAAATTTTTTTCCAGGGCCCAAAAGGTTATATAGCATAAATATATTAGATTCATAATATTTAGTTTGTATTAGTATCGTTCGATTTAAAGTTTGTATCTTTTGTATATAAATAAATTGTAAGAAAAACCGACTCGTCGAATATTTGAGAAACTCAGTGCATTGCTTTATTGATTTTTATTCATATACTATAATATATTCCTTAGCTAAAGCTGGCCAAACGACTCAACCAAATTGACGTTTTTAGGAAACCCAAGGGTGATAAATGATGAAAAAATCCATTTATTTCTTGTACTCAGCATTGTTAATATCCACCGGGCAACTCTGGGCACATAGTTTAGATTTCAATAGGTTTACAAAGAAATAATGAGTGACTTTTCACAAAAGCAAATTTAACAATTAAACGCTTTTTTGCAGATTAATGAGAATAAGTCCCACAACGCTGATCAGTAAAAAAAGGGTCACTTACAGTTACGGTTCCTTTAACGGGAGTGAACGGCAATTTATGGTAGTTGAACTGAGAATGCAGTTTTGTACAGAAATTTTTTAGGATTTATTTGAGACCACGGATATATAATAAAATGGATGGATCATAGACGAGTTTCGATGTAATTTTCTGGGTGGGGTGTTATGCAGTACATTGGAGTTCTATCAGACAATGGACCCTGGACCAGCTCTTGCATAATTCCTTTCTTATTTAGCCAATCAGTTATATTCCACTGAATTTTAGAAGGGGGGGGGGACGGTTTGTTTAATTCCTTTGTGTCGTCTTCAATGCTTAAACTTTATTTCAAAGATAGCTTAATTATCGTTGCCCCCCAACCTTTTTAAAGGCTTTAACATAAATAATACTGAGGATTCAAAATAATAAATACATTTTTGACTAAGAGTAAGAAGGTGGGGGGGGGGGGTTTGTTTAATTCCTTTGTGTAGTCTTCAATGTTTAAACTTTATTTCAAAAATAGCTTAATTATCGTTGCCCCCCAACCTTTTTAAAGGCTTTAACATAAATAATATTGAGGATTTAAAATGATAAATATTTTTTTGACTAAGAGTAAGAAGCCCCATTCTACTAAGAATAACACTATAAATGCCACCCACCCTTGAAAGTTACGCAGGACTTTAAAGTATACAGTGGGAATGATTCATATTTTTTTCTTCAGCTTAATCCTATAAAGGCTGGGGGGGGGGCTGAATCTNTGGCTCCAGGTCGTAGTCTTTTAGAAACCCTATTAAGGTCATCAGGAGAAAAATGGTCTGAGCATATCACACTCCATTTTTTCGGATTCCAGGAGGAAGGTTGGCCTGTAAATTTCGCCCATGCTACTCTTAGGTCATTTTTCGGGAACGAAAAAAAGATTTTATCTTGACAAGTACTATTATTTTTACAAGATATTACACTGCAGTACCTCATGTTCATACATCACAGGGCCCACTGTTTATCAACACAGCTGTACAACTTTCCTACTCTTTGGACCCTGAACTTTCCTTCACATATTAATTCTTTGCAAACAAAAAAAAAATCTATTTTGAATAAAAGAAATAAAAAATTGTATAAAAGAAACATTAAAAAAAACATAAATATGCCCCTAAAATAAACATAACAAATCTAGGGTCCGGTTTGCTACATCAGCTGGTAGGCCCATGGAAAAAATTACCAAAATAAAATTTGTACTGTGGCCGAGTTCAGTGTAGATAGATAGATAGAGTCATATCTATAAGCGGGCCGTGTTTGAGACCTATCAGACGTTTCTACGGTGCATATTTGTTCAGCAAGAGCAATTTCAATTGTTTAAATCCTCCTTTATTGTCTATTCTTAAGAGATGATTTTGAGAGCCGGTTTTTTAAAAATTATTCAATAACAACGAGATAATGTAGCAAAAATTCTAAACTTACCGGATGTTTAGGAACATATTTCTCAATCGAAATTTGACAATAAATCGATGTTTATAGAATTAATTATTTCCTTTTTATCATTATTTTGAATTTCTTATTTTCTATGAGTTTGTTCGCAGATTTTAGTACAACTGAATGTAGGAATTAGTCCAATTTTATAAACTTCCCTCAAACAAATTGTTTTAATAGACTAAACATTTTTCTTGGAAATTTTAGCCATAGAACTTAAATCAAAATGATATTTTTGAAAATTTTATAACCATTAAATGAATTAATCCAAATAAATTTTCCGAAGCATAAATTTAAAGGATGACAATATTTAGTCAATGCTTAAAGGGACAGACCGGCTATGTAAGGTAGTTAAACTGAGTATGCAGTGTTGGGAACAAATTTTTTAGGATTCATTTGAGACATATAAAACGTTTCCACGATGTATTATTACTGAATTTGAATGCATAGTCGACGTTCAAAATCGTTAAATAAGGTAGGTACGTTTTCAGAATCGTTTTTTTAAATTATTAAATATCGACGACAAAAAAAGTAAAAGTTATACAGTAAAGTAATTAGATGGTTAGGAACATGTTTCTCAAAAGAAATTTGTCAATAAATCAATGCTAGAATCAATTATTTTGTTTACATCATTATATTGAATTTCTTATTTTCTATGAATTTATTTGCAGATTTCTAAAAATTCTTCAAATGTCGTTTTTCAAAAAAAAATACAGCAAATCTACAGAAAATTTTTGTTAACAATGAGACATCAAGAAACTAATCACTGAAGATTTTAGATGATGAGTTAATTTTTATTTTTTTTAATCTGTTCCTAAACAACTTTATAAGCTTACTGTCGAATTTTGTTACATTTTTCGTGGTTGTCATTGAACAATTTTTTAAAAACCGATTCTCAAAATCATCCCTCCAAAATGGACAATCTATAAGGATTTTCATGATTGAATTTGCGCTCTTGCTGAACAAATATGCACCGTAAAAATGTTTAAAAGGTCTCAAATGAATCCTAAAAAAATACTCTATACAGAGTAAACTTGTCCGTCTTCACTGTTCATCTTTTGCGGAGACATTATAGACAAATCTTTACAGTCTTTTACCCTTTTCATAAAAAAACTCTAGCAGACATAATAATATTATGGATTTTGAAATTAGGTATTACAATGCTAATTCATAACAAAGACGATATCGAATTCGTCACTGAATTCCCATGTTTTTTGGGACACCCTGTATCATACATTGCCGGTCACTCCCTTTAAACCCCATGTATATCGGGACACCATGTTTAAGATTAAATTCAACAATATTTCTATAAATGTAGAATATGCTAAACCTCTCCCCGGAACATTTCTATTCGTTGCTCCAGAGAACTTCCGTGAAATGCTACCAAGTGGTAAAGTTAAGGATCCAGAGGTTAGCTCAGATGATGAAGATGTTGAAACCTGCCTCAGGTATATACAGTCAGATACTTTAAACTCTGGAATATGAAGTCGACTTTGAAACTCAAGTTATGACTCTAAATAGTGCAATAAACATGAAACTCGGCAATTGCGCATTGTATTACAGACCCATTTTCTTTGATATGTAAAGCTAGTAAAGTTATTTGCTCTGAAAAAACATCAAATGCACTTCAGTGTTGTTTTAATGTCGTCTTCTTATTCAAAATTTTTATAGTTATCACAGTATATACACTATATACCGTGAGACCCAAAAAAACTGTAGAATATGAAGACGATAGTTAATCATATTAATTGTGTTGATGTTGTTACAAAGACAAGAATCAAGAATGACGAATGAGAACTAATTATAAATAAAAGAATTATGAAGCTAGCAATTAAAAGCGAACCTTTAATAAAAAAGAGGGGCCTGTCCCATTCACAACAGTAAACTTAATCTGGTCAACATTGTACAAAATATTGTTGTTTTTCATGATTAAAAAGTGTTTATTTTTGTAGCAAGAAATGCGTTTTACTTTTGTTGAGAGACCACTGATAAAAACAAATCAGTTTTAGAAAGCAAACACATGGATATCATATTCATAAATGAGACAAAACTTTTATTGGCACCGTTGTAAATCGGACATACCAATCTTTCCACAGGGGGTCAATTGAATGTCCCTTTAAACTATGAGCAAATTAATATTATGCATTGTTAAATAAACGCTCTGCAGCGGATAATATATATATAGTTAGAATGTCAAAGAATCTTTTTGTGTTGTATTAATGCAAAACTTTAAAATTTAATTTTAGAATTACACAAGCTGCAGATGTTTGGAGCCTTGGTATATTATTATATTCAATAATTTTCAAGGTTAATACTTTTTGATTTTGATAAATTTTTTTAATGTAATTTATGATATTTATGTTTTTTTTTTTCAGGGATCTCATCCTTATGGGTCTTTACCAGGAGGAAAAGGCAGTAGAGTTTCAGCATTGAAAAGTTTTACACCGATTCAAATACCAGAAATAGTAAACTATCCTGGAGCTAGGTAATATTATCACTAAACTATTCTGATTCAAATACCAGAAATAGTAAACTATCCTGCAGGCTATGTAATATTATCACTAAACTATTCTGATTCAAATACCAGAAATAGTAAACTATCCTAAGGAAAGGTAATATTATCTCTAAACTATTCTGATTCAAATACCAAAAATAGTAAACTATCCTGGGGCTAGGTAATATTATCACTATTCTACTCTGATTCGAATACCAGAAATAGTAAACTATCCTGAGGCTAGGTAATATTATCACTTAACGACTCTTATTCAAAGACCAGAAATAGTAAACTATGCTGGGGCTAGGTAATGTATTATGTCTAAACTATTCTGATTCAAATACCAGAAATAGTAAACTATCCTGAGTCTAGGTAATATTATCAATATTCTACTCTGATTCAAATACCAGAAATAGTAAACTATCTAGGGGCTAGGTAATATTATCACTTAACTATTCTGATTCAAATACCAGAAATAGTAAACTATCCTGGGGCTAGGTAATATTATCACTTCACCCTATCCCTGCTGGGGTACTTGAAAACCAGGATACGCTGGGGGGGGGGGTCAATTTGACCCCCCCTCTAAATCCCATGTTTAATGTCCAAATATGACAAATGATACATCATTGGAAAGCTCTTGTGCTCTACTTTTAGAATCTGCAAAAAAAATTGCAACTTTGCAAAAATTAAATTTTTTATTGCAAAATCTAGTTATTTAGTAAAAATGTTTGAAAAAAAAAATTGTCCAAAATATGATATATTATACATTTTTGAAAAGCCCTTGACCATGCCATTTCAAATATGCAAAAGTTTTGCAAATTTTAAATAACCTGATTTTTAATCAAGAAAAGCTAAAAAAGTGCAAATTTCCTTTGACAGGTTGTTTGCAAAAAAAATTGCAATTTTTTCGCAAAACTTGTGTAATCCGTTTCCTTATGTCATGGGCTTTCCAAAAAGCTAAATTTTATCAAAATCTGACAAGTGAAAGTGGGTCAAAACAAAGATTTAGTTTGTTACAGGAAAAAGCAGTCGTTCAGGCAGTGTGCCTAAGGACTCAGGCAGTTAGTATTAAAGCCCGGTTTTAGGCCTAAAGGGAGGGCTTTGGGTATGTAGGAAAAGTCAGAAAATTTCAACAGCCTCAGACCAATACTTTTTGAGTTATGTAAAAAAAAACTACAGGGGGGGTCAAATTGACCCCCCCCCCCCAGCAGGAATAGGGTTAACTACTCTGATTTAAATACCAGAAATAGTAAACTATCCTGTGGCTGGGTAATATTATCACTATTCTACTCTGATTCAAATACCAGTAATAGTTAACTATCCTGCAGGCTAGGTAATATTATCACTATTCTATTCTGATTCAAATACCAGAAATAGTAAACTATCCTGGGGCTAGGTAATATTATTACTATTCTACTCCAATTCAAATACCAAAAATAGTAAACTATCCTGGGGCTAGGTAATATTATTACTATTCTTCTCTGATTCAAATACCAGAAATAGTAAACTATTCTGGGGCTAGATAATATTATGACTAAACTACTCCCATTCAAATACCACAAAAAAGTAAACTATCCTGGGGCTAGGTAATATTATCACTATTCTACTCCTATTCAAATACCAGAAATAGTAAACTATCCTGGGGCTAGGTAATATTATCACTATTCTACTCTGATTCAAATACCAGAAATAGTAAGCTATCCTGGAGCAAGGTAATATTATCACTTAACTACTCTGATTCAAATACCAGAAATAGTAAACTATCCTAGGGCTAGGTAATATTATCACTATTCTATTCTGATTCAAATACCAGAAATAGTAAACTATCCTGGGGCTAGGTAATATCATCACTATTCTACTCCTATTCAAATACCAGAAAAAGTAAACTATCCTGGGGCTAGGTAATATTATCACTTAACTACTCTGATTCAAATACCAGAAATAGTAAGCTATCCTGGAGCAAGGTAATATTATCACTTAACTACTCTGATTCAAATACCAGAAATAGTAAACTATCCTGGAGCTAGGTAATATTATCACTACTGGATTCCTATTCAAATACCAGAAATAGTAAACTATCCTGGGGCTAGGTAATATTATCACTATTCTACTCTGATTCAAATACCAGAAATAGTAAACTATCCTGGGACTAGGTAATATTATCACTACTCTACTCCTATTCAAATACCAGAAATAGTAAACTATCCTGGCGCTAGGTAATATATTTAAAGTAATACAGTATGACTCTTATGAAAGTAAAGACATGCAATACAAATCCGCCAAGAAATCCATCAGAAATTCTCTAAATTTCAATGAGTTTAGTATAGGACATTATGATTCAAGCAAAGAGTTTTAACACTTTCTTTGAATTTGAATTTGAACTTGTGAAGGTTCTCATCATAACTCTAAAAAACCACTCTTGTGCAAAGTAATTAAAAATGTTGAAAAAAGGAGGGCTGCAGATGTGGAAAAAATTCAGAAAAAATCGGTTTAATAACGGTTTGAATACCATGAATACCCGAGAATTACTCTTCGTCGATTTAAACATTTAATTTTTTCTAATTGACTTATTATAATATGCTTTAATGTTAAGGTACTTTATGATGATAATTATGATAATTAATATTATGACTAACTTAAGTCTATAGTGTTATTTCTCGTTTGTAACCTTTCAACATCTTAAAACGGTTTTCTATTAATGTTTGCTGTTATCAAACTTTAAAATATTTTTATTCTGAAAGAAAATCCAAAAACTAAAAAATTATATTTTAACAAAGATCGATTTTGGTTCGTTTTTGCCTATATTCATAGCAGGGTCAACATTTTGGCGTAGAGAAAAAAGCCAAACATTTGCTATGCCAAACTTTGACCCTGAGAGAAACCATACACAAAAAAATGAAACAAAAATTCACCAAAGCAATTAACAACATTAACTGCGAGGACATAGGTTTATTGCTATTTTGAAATAAATACAATTAACTATTTTAGGAAGACATTGTTACGATGCCTTGAAAAGGATCCTGCAAAAAGACCAACAGTTAAAGAACTTTTAGAAATGGATTTTCTCACAGGAACATATCTTTGTGTCTTACCTAAAAAGAAACCCTCAACTGCTTAAAGGAACTGTTATTGTCATAAATAGGCATGTCCGGTTCACAATGATACCCTCTAGATCTTGTTCTGATCAACATTATAGAAAAGTCACTTGAAAGTTCATTCATCAGGAGAAAAAGAAGATGATTATCAGAATTTAACACTTTCAATTCAGTTCTTTTTTGCTCAGCTGGTGATTCGAAAGACAATGTTCACGAAAGACTGTATATAAATTATAAATGCAAATAGTTTCATATTATAATCATGATACATATATTTTGATAAAAGAATATACATAGATATCGTATTTTACAAAAACACATTTTTTAAAATTCTTCTGTTTCAATTTTCCGTTATCAAGTCCTGAAAACATATCGATTCGTACCAAGTTGAAGAAAGGAATATTCCAATTTTACAAAAAAAAAATACTTAGTTATTAGTTTTAACTTTTACCTTCACTGATATGGATCTTTTGTGTCTGAAATAAATGTTATTATTATTTCTATTCATGACTATTTTTTATTCATTAAAATGCGTTTTATTTCGATTCTATTAATATAATTAAAATTGAAATTGAGACTTTGCCACAATCTCAAATTTTCTATTCCCTATATCTTTGCAACTTGATGGTGTAAAATTTAGATATTTCAGAACGCGTATACATAGCTTGAAATATCGAAGATCAACCACATCAGGTTGCAAAGATTATAAGGATTAGAAAGTCGGATCTTGTGGCAAGAACTGAGTTCCTTTAAATATATATACCTGGATCTTTGGTTACTGCTTCCTTCATTCCAGTCATTGAGATATTGATGTCTGAAAAAAATTTCAATATGAAAATTTTTAAAATTTTTTTAAGGAACTGTGGTTGTAGATTTAAGTGACCCACCATTTCCCACAAAAAAAAAGATTATAAACAAAACCCTTGAAACCTTAAAAATGTGGAACTTTTTTTTTGGCTTGAAAAGTGTTTAATTCTGATAGTTTTTAATTATTTCTGACTCATCAACTGCTCTAGTTATTTTTGTAGAAAAAAAACCTATCAAAAACAATCATTTTTCAAACACAAAAGCATTGATATTTGACTAATTTGACAAAGCTTATAATGATACTGTTGTGAATAAATAACCACTTAAAACTCTTGTACGATCTCTTTAACAGAGCTGTGGAAATATTATTCGTAAAATTCTAACAAAATTTAAAAATACCTCCATTAGGTTTAGCTGAGCAAATACAACTCATATTAGAATAATGATTCATCTGTCCATCAGCAAACAAGCTTTAAAAATCAATCATTCATAGATATCCAAGAAGTTGTTTTTATTTTAAAAATTATATCGGATATATTTATTCCTTATCCATTTACTTCAATAATAGATCTCATTTAAAACAATCAATCGATTTATTCCACTCCAATCTAAAAATGTATCATTTACTCTGAGACAAATTTCCATTGATTCTAATTTGTCTGAGAGTAAATGCCATTCCTTTTAAAGAGGGGATTCAATGATAAACCCGAGGGCTTGCGGATTTTGCGGATTTTTTTGCCTTTGTAGACTTTCAAAGTATCTTTCAATGAAAATATCCCGGCAGGAAATGAAAATTGTTACATACCAAAAAACCGGCTTTTTATAAAGGAATGTAAATTGTAAGGAAAAAGTAGAAAATAAGTGAAATTATTGGTAAGCCGTTGTGCCGTTGAAATTTTCTTTTAATTTCAACATTTTACTCCCCAAGTATGGGGAAAAACTAATGTATTTTTTTGATTGTAAGCAATAAAATATTGTTCATTTATTTTTAAAGGCTCTTCAAACAAGGGGCATTATGATTGAAAACGTATCAGATTTTTATCTAACATGAAATTTACTGTAATTTGACCAGAATGGTAAACTGTGGCTGTATTGTATAAATTTCTACTTCACAAGGAAGACAAAGAAACTGAGTTTTTGCCACAGAATGTTACAGAATTCATAGTTTGTAATATCTACGGTGTACATGATATTGGGTGCAAAGATATAAAGGTTAGAAAATCATTGTTGGTGGCAAAGACTCATTCTAATCATGCAAAAGTTGTTTGCATTTTTTCATTACTTGATTTTTCATTCATTATTTTATTTGAAAAACGTTTCCCCTATTCAGAGAAACTCCAATGTTTTTTTTCTGTATCATGCAAGTTCATCTTACATGCTCCAAAAAAATCAAAAAGATTTTAGTTGGTTGGATTTTTGATTGCATTCGGTAACGGCTTGAGAGAGAAAATAAGAAGAATTTAGCTAGTACAAAGAAGTCTTGTGGCTGGCTTTTAAGAGCTAAACAACACTGAATAGCTAAACTGGATAATGCTATAAAAGTTGTAAATTTAATACTGGATCAACTTTAAAGCGTCGAAACGTCATGGTCTTTTTTATCTCACTTATACTTATGTTTAGACCTGAAGAAGTAAATTGTATAGCTATAACACACACGTTTTAAGAATTCTCATGGATTTTTGCACGAGCACTTTCAATCCTTGAATCACTGTAAGAACTATCTTCGGTAATTGGTTCTGGTTGATCACAACATAATTTTCTGATATTTTATCGATAAATGATTTCCTCATGATTTCCGGAATACAAGGTCCAGCCTCGTCTACTTTAATCTGAATTTCTCCAAACACACAAGCAGTTTTATCTGGAGAAGTAACATCATTTAAAAATGATTATTTAAAAAATTAGAAGAACACACATCTTAATGATTACTTGTATTGTCGGTAATAAAACCAGGGGTCCAGATAATTCCATTTCTGATCCCAAATGGGATCGGGGTTGAAAGTACATTTAGGAGCATGAAAGTACACTTTATATTTTATTTAGAACTTTGACAAGTTTTTGTGTACGTGTACTACACTTCGGAAATGTGTACTGCATTTTGGGCGTTAAAAGATGTAAATATAGTATTTAACCCTATTCCTGCTGGGGGGGGGTCAATTTGACCCCCCCCCCTGTAGTTTTTTTTACATAACTCAAAAAGTATTGGTCTGAGGCTGTTGAAATTTTCTGACTTTTCTTACATACCCAAAGCCCTCCCTTTAGGCCTAAAACCGGGCTTTAATACTAACTGCCTGAGTCCTCAGGCACCCTGCCTGAATGACTGCTTTTGCCTGTAACAAACTAAATCTTTGTTTTGACCCACTTTTATTTTGATAAAATTTAGCTTTTTGGAAAGCCTATGACATAAGGAAACGGATTGCACAAGTTTTGCGAAAAAAAAATTGCAAATTTTTTGCAAACAACCTGTCAAAGGAAATTTGCACATTTTTAGTTTTTCTTGATTAAAAATCAGGTTATTTAAAATTTTGCAAAAATTTGCATATTTGGAATGGCATGGTCAAGGGCTTTTCAAAAATGTATAATTTGTCATTTTTTGGACAAATTTTTTTTTGCACACATTTTTACTATAAAACTGGATTTTGCGATAAAAAATTCAATTTTCCCAAATTTGCAAATTTTTTTGCAGATTCTAAAAGTAGAGCACAAGAGCTTTCTAATGATGTATCATTTGTCATATTTGGACATAAAACATGGGATTTAGAGGGGGGGGGGGGTCAAATTGACCCCCCCCAGCGTATCCTGGTTTTCAAGTACCCCAGCAGGGATAGGGTTAATATAAGAGATAAATTATGATATGCAGAAAAATAAACTCTCCCTTGTAGTAAACATTCTGCAGTATGGAATTTGTTCTACAACTTGACATTATACTTCCAACTGTTTACAATAACAACATGGTTTATTTCTGCCCCTAATATCAATCAATCAACATTTGGGATTCATCAGATTGAATAAAAATAATTATTTCTATCTTGTGTTGCGCTCAAAATGCAATTTCTCATCTAGATTGCAATCTTCGATTCTTTTGAAATTGCTACGTTCCGAATTTAATGTACTAGCACCGCCGTGGACAAGTACTGTCTCGGATTCTGTACCGTGCGGGATTTGACTAGTGTACTGTCTCGGATTCTGTACCGTCCGTGATTTTACTGGTGTACTGTCTCGGATTCTGTACCGTCCGGGATTTTACTGGTGTACTGTCTCTGACAAAATACTTTGGCCGGGGTCATTTGTGTAATGAGACTCATGAGATGAAAAGGATAAATACAATTCTTGACGAAATTTACAATTTTATGTTTTTTTCTAGGGCCCCTAGGGGGAGTAAAATGTTTTTCCTGGGGCCCCTAGGGGAAGTAAAAGATTTTTAAAAAATTGCCAATTCTGACCTTCAGACAGCTTTCCCTTCTTTTTCTCTTCCAATTCAGCCTGATCTAAATAATCCTTTTAGTTGGAAACAAACATGATCTATACAAAGTTACAAAATGTAAAAATATGTTCATAATAGAAAGCAATGTAAATTTTCAATTGTTCATTTTACAAATATGACAAACTTCTGAAATAAGCATTTTTTAAATACAACCTTCTGAAATACAAACTTCTGAAATACAGTATATTTTGCATGTATATTTTTCATGTATATTTTTCATGTATATTTTGCATGTATATTTTTCATGTATACTTTGCATGTATATTTTGCATGTATATTTTGCATTTATATTTTTCATGTATATTTTTCACGTATATTTTGCATGTATATTTTTCATGTATATTTTTCATGTATATTTTTCATGTATATTTTTCATGTATATTTTTAGCGCACCTGACATTTCCCCCTTAGTGATAGCTTCGACAATGATTCCTAAAATGTTGGAAATGTTTCATCAAAATCTTAATATTTCACTATTTTGTTGAAGATAATGCAATTCTTTTTGATTGTATTTTCATATCATCAACAACAATGTCGGGACATCTACTTTTCGACAGAATTTTAGTTTTTAGTTATTAAATAGGGATGCTTTGTATTTAAATTTCTAAAATAAAAAGTATTTGGATTCAAACGAAGGGGTACGTTTTTGTAACTTTCGGAATAGCTAAATTTTTCGAAAAAATATGAATTCGGCACAAAATTTACAATTTGTTTACAACAAATATTATTGTGCTATTATTACTGTAGTAATGCGTCAATTTTGCGAGAAAAGTGTATGTACAATTTCTTGTTGGATAAAATTGTAAAAAATGTCATTGAAAGACAACTTTAAATAAAATATTGGACATTACCTTTTCCATCCTCTCTTATATAGCATGTACAAAGTGCATTGGATATATCTTCTGTCTCATCAAATACACTTTAATCAAACAAATAGATCTTATAGATATTTTTTAATCCATTCTTAGCATATTTTCCAGGGAAAAGGGCTAGCAAAACCTAAACTGAATCCGAGCCTCATTCTTTTTCGTTTTTTTCATCCGAGCCACCTCAAACAGGAATTGAAATGTGGGTATAATGGAGAATAAGGAGAATGGGGGCTCGGATTCAGATGATGTGGTTTGCCTTTTACCCTGAATTGAAACATTTAAACATTTAAGTGTGGAAGACGATGCCTGGCCGCGTTAAACTAGTTCCACAAGATTCAACAGAATGAGATAGAACGGATACGGGGCATAAGTACTGATATCATCTCTACAGTCTACACGTGCGATATCGATATTGACTCTAGTTCTGAACCCTCTAGTAATAAGTTATAAGAAATATATATACTGGAAGTTATTTATGCGTTTTATTAGAGTCTGACTCACGTCCTCTATATAAGTTTAATTTTAAATTTAGACATCTTTTATATTTTTGTTGGCTACATGAACCCAGGAAAGGTTAATAGACAATTCCAGTTTAGAAAATTGTGCCTGGAAAAAAATTTTGTTTCTTAAATGGACCCACTCAAATGATTTTAATTTCTTAAAACACATCTATGTTATCATCCAGAGGCGTATTCAGGGGGGGCTATGGGGGCTCATCCCCCTCCTGTATCAGTGAAAAATATGTTTTTTGGGGGGAGGGTGGGGGGGGGGTTGGCCTCCCCCCTCCCAAAAAGAAAAAGAAATGTAAGCCCTTACTTGGAAAAAAACCTTAATATCTTTAAAACTATGTCTAGTTCTCAACCACTCTTAAATCTGTCAAAATACAAAAGTGAAGACCAAAAGATATATTTCGAAGATCTTCATTTTTCAGACTAGTGAAATATATTCTTTTCGGGTGAGTTTTGGCCTCCCCCCCCCCCAAGAAATGTAAGCCCTTCCTGGAAAAAAAAACCTGAACACGCCTCTCTTAATATCTTTAATGTCTAGTTCTCAACCACTCTTAAATCTGTCAAAATACAAAAGTAAAAACCAATAGATGTATTTCAATTTAAAAACTGGCCCATTTCTTGCTTTACAGATTATGCAATATGCATGCAGGCATTATTGTGCTGTCTGAAATTATTTATTGTGCAGTAAAATGGTTAAAATTCACTTCTAAAATCTTAATTTACGTTAATCTATATTTAAGTTAAATACAAATTCTAAGTCTGTGTTTGTAAACAAAGGGAGTCCAGTTTCTGTTGTACTGTACACTCCGTATACAGACCAATTTATATATATATATATAAATATTTATAAATACTTGGGACCTAAAATGTCGTCATCCAACTATGAGTTTGGCCCACTTTAGTATTCATTTACTTTGGCTCGTAAGCGCCTTAAAAACGTATAGTTGTATATTAAAATTATATTTTAAAAATCTGATCTAAACTTTGTGATTCCTTGTAATATCTCGAGAGCAAGGAATTGTTTCATTTAGATTTATTCTTCTTTCTCCAAACACACACGCCGTTCCATCTATATAGACGATATTAATACACGCAGTTCCATCTATATAGACGATATTAATACACGCAGTTCCATCTATACAGACAATATTAATACACGCTGTTCCATCTATACAGACGATATTAATACACGCCGTTCCATCTATACAGACGATATTAATACACGCCGTTCCATCTATACAGACGATATTAATACACGCTGTTCCATCTATACAGACAATATTTATACACGCTGTTCCATCTATACAGACAATATTAATACACGCTGTTCCATCTATATAGACGATATTAATACACGCAGTTCCATCCATACAGACGATATTGATACACGCTGTTCCATCCATACAGACGATATTAATACACGCTATTCCATCTATGTAGACAATATTAATACACGCTGTTCCATCCATACAGACAATATAAATACACGCTGTTCCATCTACAGAGACAATATTAATACATTAATTTCAAAATGTATAAAATTTAAAACTTCAGTATCATTTTCTAATGTTTAAGTTTTGTTCTCGAAAAGTAAGGTTAACTTTCCAAATTTTAAGTTTATATCACAAAATTTATTTTTATTTTCTTAAACTTAGTTATCATTTTAATAGATTATATCTTTATTTCCCAAGTTAAAGTAAAATGTTAAAATTTCAGAACGCAAATTTAGTTTAAAAACGTATGAAATGATATTCATCAAAAATTTATGTTCTTTTTTAATTTAAGTTTTCAAACCTATATTATTTGTTACCTTCCGAAAGTTCACCCAAACTCTGTTCTAAAAATGTTTAATTACTTTTAGAAAATTAATATTTTTTACATAAAAAAGCCCTGCTAATATATAAAGATCAGTTGAAACAATAGTAATTACAAAATCCTAATCGACATTCTCAGTTCAACCACGATACATTGCCGGTCACTCCCTTTTTAAGAAGAAGACTTTAAATTTACGACTTTGCATGGACATTTTTTCTTCAAAATTTCGACCGTGATCAGATCATTGCATGGATTATAAAATTTGTCCGAAAAAAATTTCATTTGACAAAATATTTGTAGTTTTTTAAACCTTCCTAGAAATTAAAGTCTAAGAACCTGTCTTGGTCGTTGTTTCAGGGCTCATTGTAGAATTCGCAGTTGTTGAATTATATATTCCTAGTTTAAAATCAGATTAATTGTGTTTGCTTTGTCTAGGGGATAGTTTAATACATTGTCTAACCAGAATCCCCCCCACACCCTTTTTTTTAACCTTAATCGTTTATTTGGCTGAAAACATAGATTGACGAAACTTTACACGTGCAGCTGTAGTACATTTGAATTTCCGAGCCGGGTCAACCTTTTCTGTATTGTATCGCCCTGACGTTGGGTAAATAAAGCAGACACTCAATAGGACCAGCCGGTGAAACTAAGTTGACGCGGTCAGACTTTAGGCTAAAGGAACTGAGTTTTTGCCACAAATTATGATTTTACAATCGCTATATCTTTTCAACCTGATGGTGTAAACCTTTGATATTTCAAACTATCATTATTTAATCTAAAATAATTCATAGTTTGTAATATCTAAGGTCTATAACATTCAAATGCAAAGATATAGGGATAAGAAAATCAGAGTTTGTAACAAAACTCAATTCCTTTACTTTTACTAAAGGGTCAGAGGTGAAACTTTAAGATCCCTCCTTTCAAAGATAAAACTTGGCTCACTCACATCAGATATAATTACAAAACCAATAATTACTAAACTTTACAAACTATCCCTTTAAACATAAAATTTGCAAACTGTCCCTATAAACCTAAACTTTACAAAATTTCTCTTTAAATCTAAACTTTACAAACTGTCCCTTAAAACCTACACTTTACAAACTGTCCCTTTAAACCTAAACTTTACAAACTGTCCCTTTAAACCTAAACTTTACAAACTGTTTCTTTAAACCTAAACTTTACAAGCTGTCTCTTTAAACATTAACTTTACAAACTGTCCCTTTAAACATAAACTTAACACACTGTTCCTTTAAACCTAAACCTAACAAACTGTCTCTTTAAACCTAAACTTTGCAGAGTGTCCCTTTAAAACTAAACTTTACAAACTGTCTCTTTAAACCAAAACTTTACAAACTGTCTCTTTAAACATAAACTTAACAAATTGTTCCTTTAAACCTAAATTTATAAACTGTTCCTTTAAACCTAAAATTTACAAACTGTTCCTTTAAACCTAAGCTTTACAAACTGCCTCTTTTAACCTAAACTTTACAATCTGTCTATTCAAACCTAAACTTTACAAATTGTTCCTTTAAACCTAAATTTGTTAACTGTTCCTTTAAACCTAAACTTTACAAACTGTCCCTTTACACATAAACTTAACACACTGTCCACTTAAACCAAAACTTTACAAACTGTTCCTTTAAACCTAAACTTTACACACTGTCCATTTAAACCAAAACTTTACAAACTGTCCCTTTAAACCTAAACTTTACTGACCAATCCTTTAAACTTAAACTTTATAAACTGTCCCTTAAAACATTAACTTTACAAAATGTCCCTTTAAACCTAAATTTTACAAACTGTCCCTTTAAACCTACACTTTACAAACTGTCCCTTTAAACCTAAAATTTACAAACTGTTTCTTTAAACCTAAACTTTACAAGCTGTCTCTTTAAACATTAACTTTACAAACTGTCCCTTCAAACATAAACTTTACACACTGTTCCTTTAAACCTAAACCTAACAAACTGTCTCTTTAAACCTAAACTTTACAAACTGTTCCTTTAAACCTAAACTTTAAAAACTATTCCTTTAAACCTAAACTTTACAAACTGTTCCTTTAAACCTAAACTTTACAAACTGTCCCTTTAAACCTAAACTTTACAAACTGTTCCTTTAAACCTAAGCTTTAGAAACTGTTCCTTTAAACCTAAACTTTACAAACTGTTCCTTTAAACCTAAACTTTATAAACTGTCCCTTTAAAATTAAACATTACTTACCAGTAGCCATTGAGCCGATTGTATCCTTTCCATTATCTTAAAAAGACTGTTATCCTATTTCAAAGTGACTATTGCTAAAATAGCACCCTTCATCAATGCCCCCCCCCCCCCATTAGTTTTTATAATAATTTATATATTGAAAAATAAAAGCTCTTTAAAACATTAAAATAAATTTAGGCAGAGTTCTCTTTTAAACTGAACTGCAAATAAGCTTAATATGATTAAAGAAGAGAGATTAAGGAAAGGCATTTTTTAATTTCATTATTCCGTGAAATTAAGAAAACCCAAAAGAATCTTATTCTTTACCTGATTTTAATTCTGGCTCATTTTGAGATGTACCAACACTGATTTCTTAAAAATTAGTTAAATTTAATAAATTTTAAAGTTTCTTGATTTTTAAAGATTCATTATAAAATGTTCTGTAAAAATAATTGCCTTTTGAGAGCTTGCCTTGTCCGCTTGGTTTCAGGTCTAAAAAATTAGATTTAAAAAAATATCTTTCTCATTTCTTGTTTCTATGGTTCCAGTGACAGAATGCTTTTTCAAAAAAACTTTCTTTCGTATTTCGCGAATTTTCGCATTTTCACGCGCAAATAAATTTAACGAAAGGACACGAAAACGATGCGAAATTTGCAACAGCAAAACATATACGACAATTTTGCAAAATTTAAATTTTTTTACACGAAAGGAAGGCGGAACAATGCGACAATTTCGACAAAAAAATTTCGCAAAACGTTTTTTTACATTTAGCTGGAAACCCTAGTTGTATCTTGTATCTCACCTTTCAAAGGTTTCTGCAAATGCATATTTCCCTTCGCAGTAACAATTATATCTAAAAAAATTGTGTTTTTTTAATTAAAAGAAAGTGTGGTGGACTTTTGTCTCTCCTTTAATAATGAAACGTCCGTCTCTATGGATTTTGTAATTTTGTAATTTTGTAATTTTGTAATTGATACATTCTAGAAATGTGCCCCGAGCTGAAAACTTTAGAATGTTATATCCTTAATCCCGATCGGTTAATTAATCTGGAGATTAATAACAGGAGAAGGTTAAGCATCATTTAATTTTGAGATTAAGAAAAAGAGTGGATCAAGCATTATTCCCGATATCCACCATTCAAAAGTTCTCAGAGCTGTAAACTCTTGTATTGTAAATACCGAGATCAATGCTTAAACTTTTGTAAATCTGCAGATTTAGTTAATCTTTACTCGATGTCTCGCATGGTAATCCAACCCAGTCGTTGAAGGGAGCTTCCATTATGGAAGGAATAACTAAATAAACGAGTTTAAGCATTGATTCTTAAATTAGAAGTACCCACAGTGGATATCTAAATCAAGCGAGTGTATCCAAGTGTATCCAAGTGTATCCAACACTAAAGCTCTGAGGTCTAAACTTTTGAATGTGACTCCAGACATCAAACAAATCCGTTACTTTTGACGGCCAACGGATTAATTCAATTAAATTAAAATATACGGCAGTGCTAACTAAATTTGAAGGAGAAGATACATATGGTCCTAAAAATTAAAAATTGTCACACTGGATATCGAGATCAAACGTTGTAGATTAGCGACATTTCTTAATTTATAGAAAAACACGAAAGCATTCCAGAGTTTTCTGGTCACCACATTTAAAAATACCATCAGAAACAAGTTTCTAATTTAAAAATACCATCAGACACAAGTTTCTAATTTAAAAATACCATCAGACACAAGTTTCTAATTTAAAAATACCATCAGACACAAGTTTCTAATTTCGCCATTTTACTTCTAAAGGCATTTATGGAATTTTTCATGAAGAAATTAAAAATAATAAATATAATTTTCCAAACAAATTATGTTAAAATTATTCAATCGACAAAATAAAATATTTTACTACGGAACTTATTTCCATAATTTTTTTGCTTGCTTACCACCGTTTTGTGTTTTGATGCATTTACAGAACTTAAGACTTTGGTCCTTGGTTTCATTAAGAAACCTAATAATCGGAAAAAATGAGAAAAAACATTCAAATTTAATATGAACTACTTCGAATACACATGTTTTCGTTGAAAATCAAAAATCTTTTCAACCTTAAAATATTTAATTTTTTTTCCAATTTCCTTGATATTTCTGGTGAGCAGGGTACAGTCTGGTTTAGCCTGATCACAAGTTCACCAAACTCACAGTATTCACCATCTTTTCAGAATTATTATCATAAAGTAAAATTCAATTTTTTTAAGTAACTTTATTCTCTGAGGCTGAAATAATAAGCAGAATCAGGGTTATCCCATGGTTATCCTGCAAACGATTAGACTTAAGACATAATTTCTATACACTCTAAAATACGAAATTAAAAAATCGCTTATTTGGAAACAAAAGTTGGATGATTTCCAAACAAGCAACAACAAATCTCTTATTTAACAGTCATATAACTTTTTGCAGACAAATAAGAGTTTGTTTCATTAAATATAAGCGATTTTTTGTCGCATTATTGACAACCATCCAACTTTTGCTCCTAAATTAGCGATTTTTTGGCGCTTAATTGGCAACCATCCAACTATTGCTCCCAAATAAGCAATTTTTTGATTTCCTATTTTAGATTTCAAATAATATATATTAAAACACATTTTAATATTGCGAAGTAATTCCTTAGCTTATTTAGTTTTTCACAACATTAATTAAATTTTACTAATTGCCAGGACTTCATCACATCGCAAGATGCAAATTTATTTTAAAGTTCAAAGATATCTTTTATTTTTTTACCTTCGGAAAGTTTTCCCTTCGCCTTTGTATCATCTGAAAATAAAAAATTAAACTTAACTAATTTATATTTATATAATAAAGCTCTTCGTTAATATATTTATATTTATTTATAAGTCAGCTATAGCTGGCCAAACGGCGCGGCTGGACCAAACGGGAGGAATTTTTTAAGGGAACCCTAGAGTAACCTGGGGGTAAAATAGGCTGAACAAATGCAAAAAAAAACTGAGGTCTAAACTTTTGAATGTGATTCCAGACATCAAACAAATCCGTTACTTTTGACGGCCAACGGATTAATTCAATTAAATTAAAATATACAGCAGTGCTAACTAAATTTGAAGGAGAAGATACATATACTCCTAAACAAATGCAAAAACAATTTTGAAAATATAATTTCTTTTAAATAGAATTTAAAAAGATTTCATGGGCAACGCCGGGCACTTCAACTGGTATTTCTCGAATTAAATTCAGCTCTTGATTATTTCTATACTAGAAACTATATTTGTCATAAATATATTACTATTAAGCTAATAAGCATGTAAAATTTACCGACAAAAACAAATGTGGTAGAGGTAAAAGTTTTTAACTTTGACCCGACATGAACCTTTTCTAGGGTCTAGTTACCAACTTTGATATTTCAATTCATAGTTTAAAACTTCAAGGGCAAAATTATAGTGATTAGAAAATCAGAGATTGGGACAAACACTCAAAACAAACATTCCAGAGGCCGAATTTAAAGAATTTGATCCGCGGCTCAAATATGGTTGGTTCCACTTAAAAATGTTTTCAATTTTGCAAGATTTAAGCCGGCGCTCAATTGAAACCGGTTTTTGGCATATTAAAGCCGCGGTTAAAATTCATTAAATTCGGACACAGACAATACAAAGATATGCATAGAATATAATCAAATAAGATATAACTTATAAAAATTTATCATCTTCCAAAAAAGTTGTTTCTTTAAATTCTTACCTTGACCTCTCATTAATTTTGTGGCAGTCAGACGAATACCTTGAAACAAAATATAGTATTATTTATTATTTAATGTTGTTGCAAAGCAAAAAATTTTACAAGCAACAAATAAAAATGAGTCTTTTCAAATCGCAAAATAGCTGTGTCTCATGTTTATTGGACTATTTAAAGTCATAACTTGAGTCTAAATGTCGTCTTCCAATTCCAGAGTTTTCTGTTTCTCAGTATACTTTCCGACCCTCCTCTATGAACTCAAAAACGTCCAATATGTGAGATTGAGATGTATAAAGGGTTAAATATTATGATGTGTAATCAGAAAAAAAGATTCAGTGAATACCAAAAAAAGCGAGGATTAAAAAAATTTACCTCCGTCCTCTTTCTTTGCACACGTGCAGTTCATTTCTGTAACATCCTCAGAGGAATTTAAAACTCTAAACCATCAACCACAAATTCAAAATTGTAATTTAATGATTTTATATGATAACAAATTTATGAAAATAGCTCTAAATACCAAGAAAGAATGATACTTCATTTACAACCTAAAAAATTTTTAATTTTAAAGATCTAAAGCAATATTCAATCTTAGGTACTTTATTGGTGTGCTTTATGACTTGACAAAGACAATAACAAGTTTAAAGCTTCGGGAAACCGTTATTAAGAGAAAAAGTCTGATAAGATTCCGGACAGTCGTCTCTTCAGTCTCATCATATAGGCCTGTATATCATTTATTCATATAAAATTGTAACATTAAAAATTAATTTCCAAAAGAAATCTACAAGTTACCACAGTAGATATTATCGATTACAAATTTTAATCTAACCCCGATCGATCTAGATTGAGTTCATCTGTTTTGATCTAAATTGATCAAAATTAATCAAAATTGATTTGAATCAATCAATTTGTGATTTCCTATTAAATTCCTTTCTGCAAGGTACTGTAACGTTGAAGGGTATTAATATTCCTGCTATATCACATTGAGAACCTGAAAATTGAATAACATTTTATTCCCATTTTTCCTTTTTTTAGTAAAAAATACAAACCATTGATTTGAAAGTTATTTGACTCTTCTGTCACAATCTTCTCATTCACAACAATACTCATACCTCAAGAAAAACAAAGTTAAAAATTAAAAAAGTTAAAATAAAATGTTCGAAGAGAGGAACTAAACACTTGCATCAAACTTAAATTTTCTTATACCTTTTCAATATGATAGTGTAAACTTTTAATATTTCAAACTAGGACTATTTGTTCTAAAAGCATTCAAGTTTAAAGGGACAGACCGGCTGTGTAAGGTAGTTAAACTGAGTATGCAGCGTTGTGGCCGTGGGCAAATTCTTTAGGATTCATTTAAACATATAAACTGTTATATATATAAATTGTTTCCACGATGTATAACTACTGAGTTTGAGTGCATAGTCGACGTGGGTACGTTTTCAGAATCGGTCTTTTAAAACTATTAAGTAACGACGACGATAATTGAAGTAAAAATTATACATTAATCTAATTAGATGGTTAAGAACATATTTCTCAAAAGAAATTTGTCAATAAATCAATGTTAGAAAAATTATTTCGTTTTTATCATTATATTGAATTTCTTATTTTCTATTTAGGGAGAGATTTAGGGTTTAGAAAATTATAATTTGTTGCGAGTTTTCTAGAATAATTTTCATGCCATACGTCAATAAAATTGCTCCCCAAAAACTCTCTAATTACATATTTTTTTAATTTATTCACAAAAACCTGTTACTCAAAAAATCTTCGAAAAATGTTTATACCATCAAGTCAAAAAAATGTTCCAACGCCAAAAAAAAAGTTATTTTAATGCTGAGTTAAATAAAAAAACAATTTTCGAAATGATCCAGAAAATTGATTAACGTTTACTAATTTTCCTACAGTTTAATCTCATGTTTTTATACACAATAGTTTAATTGAATCATTTGATCTTGAAGGTATTTTAATGACAAATAAGCATCTGAACTTTACAGCAATTCGTACTAAAAAAATAATAAAATTTGCATTTTTTCGATTAACAAAATTAAAATCAGAAAAATATATTGTTTTATTAATATCAGTCAACGACATGGATATGGTCTCAAAAACTTAAGAAATTTTGGTTTAAGAAGATATAACTTTAGATTGGATTTGCGCCCACCCACAACGATTAAACTTAGTAAACTTTTAAAGGAAAGGATTTAAGTTATCCCTAAAGGAATTTTACTGTCTGTTTACTTACATTTAAGATTACCTTCAACTATAAATCAACAATAAATCCAATAATTAAATAAGTAATAAAAGACTAAGACAGAAGATTAAATTTACCCATAATATAGTTTTTTTTTCACGAGTTTCATTCGTAATTATAATATCATTCTTTATTGGAAACTTTGGTTGTGAGATAAACCATTATGACGTTCCCCAACCAGCTAATCGTGTCAAATGTACAGATTTAAAATTCAAAAGTTTAAACCTCCGTGTTATTTTTAATGGTTGATCCTACCTCCATCCTCCTTTCTAGTGCAGATACATGTTTTACCCTTCAAGTCCTCATCAGCATTTATAAACCTAATAAAACAAAATATCTAATTTTATATTTTAAGCCACAATTAGAACTGTGTGAACTTTAATGTATACAATTTAAACTCACAAGTATTTTTTCCCTCAGCGCGTTCCATTGTACTTATGTGTACTTACTGACTGAACTAATTGCACTGATTGTACTCAATTTACTCATTGAACTCGTTGTATTCATTGTACTTAATATACTCATTACACTCATTGTACTCAATTTACTCATTGTAACGTTGTATTCATTGTACTTAATATACTCATTACACTCATTGTACTCTATTTACTTTTTGTAATCGTTGTATTCATTGTACTTAATATACCCATTACACTCATTGTACTCAATTTACTCATTGTACTCGTTGTATTCATTGTACTTAATATACTCATTACACTTATTGTCAATTTACTCATTGTAATCGTTATATTCATTGTACTTAATATACTCATTACACTCATTGTATTTACTCATTGTAATCGTTATATTCATTGTACTTAATATACTCATTACACTCAATTTACTCATTGTAATCGTTATATTCATTGTACTTAATATACTCATTACACTCATTGTATTCAATTTACTCATTGTACTAATTGTATTCATTGTTCTTATTCAATGCAATCAAAGTACTTAGTGTACACCATACTTTACTCATTGTGTACTCATTGTAATGATTATACTTAATGTGTTTATTTTACTCATTGTACTCATTGTACTCTTTTTACTCATTTTACTCATTGTACTTGTGTTATTTATAAACTCACTGTTCTTATTGTACTGATTACACTCATTTTACACTCGTTTTACTCATTGAACTAATCAATCCCTTACTATATTACTATGTTTACTTTTTAACATCTGGACTGCAAGGTGATGGCTGGTTTAGTATCATCTCAGAGTTCTTAAACAAGCAGCGTGTTCCATCTTAATATTTATAAACGTGAATTTCTCTGCAGATATTATTGCTTTAAAGGGACTGTAAGCATTTAAAGAGGGGCATTACCCGATTCACAACGGTACCTTTTGAACCTTTGCCTGATGAAGGATTCACAACGGTACTCTTTAAACCTTTGGCTGATGAAGGATTGACAACGGTACCCTTTAAACCTTTGACTGATGAAGGATTCACAACGGTACTCTTTAAACCTTTGGCTGATGAAGGATTAACAACGGTACCCTTTAAACCTTTGACTGATGAAGGATTCACAACGGTACTCTTTAAACCTTTGGCTGATGAAGGATTAACAACGGTACCCTTTAAAGCTTTGACTGACGAAGGATTGACAACGGTACTCTTTAAACCTTTGGCTGATGAAGGATTCATAAATATCTAAGGTCATTCAACATCGGGTTGCAAAGATATAGGGATTAGAAAAGAGTTCGTGAGCTCTATTTTTAGGATACTCAGATAACAAGATCTGCCTCCCCCCCTCCCCAGCCAAACAAAACGATTAAAAATGTTAATTTAAAAATATTTACCTGGTGATATTCTATTGTGTATCTGTATCTGTTCTGTATATCCGTGTATAGAACTTATAAGTATTAACAATATAAAACTGTAAAGTATAGTACGAAACATAATTGGTATAACGACACCAGTGCACTACACTGAAATATACATAATTAAACATTTAATTAAATATTTACTTGTTGTAAAAGTATCAAAGGGTCGGAAAATATCTCTTTACAAGATTTAATCCGGCCAAAATATCAGAAAAGACTATTCAAAGTACCCGGCGTTGTCCGTGGAATTTTTAAAAAATAAAATGTTATAAAAAAAATTGATTTTAGAGAAAAAAAATAAATATTTTAGCTTTTGTTACCCCCAAGGTATCCATGGGTTTCCTAAAAAAAATTCCGCCCATTCGGTCCAGCCGTTTGGCCAGCAATAGCTAACAAATAAGAATTATTTTGGTTGTGTGCAGTGTGGACATAGTTTTACAAGTTTTGAAGTGTGACAGAGTAACATGAAGCTTCCGTAGCTGTAGACTTTTAATTACATATTTACACATGAAGCATTTCATTAAAACAATAAAAGTAGTTTAAATCAATCAATAGTTTATGGTACATTGATTATATTTATATAAGAACGATGAGAACGATAACAATAGACAAAAACAAAAAAAATCACAATTAGTTAAAAAATAAATCTAAAACTAGACGAAAAACTATCGTTCTTAAAACATACCCATCCCTATCTGCAGACTATTATTTAAAAGTTCAAGTTCAAGTTCTACAACCCTAGTGGAGTAAAAAAGGTGAGGTGGGAGCTCAATCTCTCTGAAATCAAACAAGGATAGATATTTTCTGAGATGTCCCTGCAAACATTTAGTTTCTGACATGTCGATGAAGAACATTAAAAATCCAGAATTATTTACCCAACATCTTCGCTTTCGTAGCTAAAATTCTGATTAAATGTTTCCTGGTCTATTTTTCAGTATTTTAAAAAATCTTTAAAGGGAGTGTTCACGAAAAATGAAAGGGGGTATAGGTTTACGGCGAAAAATATCAACTATGATTAGCCGTTTTTAACAATTTTCTCCTTATAGACGCAACAGATAAAAGTAATATTAGTAGCAATCAAAAGCGCTTATTTTTCGCCGCAAGCCTATACCTCCTTTCATTTTTCGCAAACACTCCCTTTAACTTGATTAAAAATTATGTCAAACAAAATTAAAATGTTGTTTTAAAATACATGTTTTATATCAAAGAATCTATTGGTTAAATAAAAATTTTCAGAAACCTTTAATACGATTGTGCCATAGGCTATCCCTTCAAACGAATGATTATCAATATTTTCTCTAACGTAAAATTATCTATCCATCTTTCTAACACAGGGCTTGTCACCGACGTTGATACTGTAAAGACGACCTGGAATGGAATTTAAAGAATTTGAGCCGCGGTTTAAATCCGCCAAAACCCGGTTTAAATTCAGCGCCGGCTTAAATCTTGAAACATTTGATACAATTTTAAGTGGAACCAACCGTATTTAAACCGCGGCTTAAATTTAAACCGCCGCTAAAATTCTTTAAATTCGGTCACTGGAACTCCTAACCCTAAGATCATATGGTGTGGGTTAGGGGGGATTTTGTTTATTATCAATAACACCGGGAGTGGTACCTCTGTTATTTATCTATTCTAGTTTCTCACCTCAAATACCTCATCTTACCGGTCAATAAACATTAATATACAGGGTTACCTACAAAGGATGAAACATGGACTTTTTAAAATTTTTAAAGTTTAGAATTGTATTCTAAAAATTGAATAAAATTGAAAATCTCCTCCAACTTTTTAATACCTTTCAGTGGATTATCAGGTAAAGTTGGTAAAGATGACTCCTGAATATCGAAAGTGAGGCCTAGAATTAAAGGTTGTGAACGTCAGCGTGCTTGAGGGTAAGGAGAAGGGCGAGTTGAGGAGAAGGGTGTGTTGAGGAAAAGGATGGGTTGAGAAGAAAAATTAGCTGAGGAGAAGGATGAGGAGAAGAATGGGTTGAGGAGAAGATGGGTTGTGAAGAAGGATGCTTGAGAAGAAGGATGAGGGGAAGGATGGGTTGAAAAGAAGCATGACGGGAAAGATGGATTTAGGAGAAGGATGAGTTGTGAAGAAGGATGGGTTCAGGAGAAGGATGGTTTGAGGAGAAGGATGGGTTCAGGAGAAGGATGGTTTGATGGGAAGGATGAGGGGAAGGATGGGTTGTGAAGAAGGATGACAGGAAAGATGGATTGAGGAGAAGGATGGGTTTTGAAGATGACGGGAAAGATGGATTGAGGAGAAGGATGGGTTGAGGAGAAGGTTGGGTTGAGGAGAAGGATGGGTTGAGGAGAAGGATGGGTTGAGGAGAAGGTTGGGTTGAGGAGAAGGATGGGTTGAGGAGAAGGATGGGTTGAGGAGGAGGTTGAGGAGTTTATGAGAAAATATAAATATCTTACTTGAAATAGGTAAATCATCATTACTGAAATTTGTTCTTCCTTTAATAATACTTATCATTAAAATTATTATTCTACATTCTAATTCTAACATATTCACCATGAACCTGTCAACTAAAGATAAATTGTTTAATCTATCTAATTAACAAGTTTTCAACAGTTTACAAGGGATCAATAAAAAAGGTAAAGAAGTCGCAACTCAAGTAAAGATTCTGCAAATCAAGAATTTTTTTGAGGAATATATAGAATAATATGTTGTGAACCATGTTTTTTTCTGTTTGAAAATCACAGAAATATGAGACGGATTAAAAATTCGTTTATGACTTTTCACTAATTATCTTATTCAGTTTAGATAATATTTTGATTGTGTGATACACATTTTTCCTGCAATTTCTACTCTTCTCTTATTGCTCCAAATAACATGTGAAGGAGAGTTGGAGGTTGGGGATGGGCGAAGCTAACAAGTACTTAAAGCTGTAACAAATAGATTTTTAAATTAATTGTGCATAACATCGTACGCGTTGGTGTCAAATGTGGCACCGACTGTAAGCTCCAAACCATTTTTTGAATATAACAGTTATAAAAAAACATAATTCCGCTCTTCAATGTACCTTAAGGTCTAAATTGCAGATTTGTGGCAGAAACAAAAATGTGCGAAAAAGCTAGTGATTAGAACTGGAGTGGGGAACAACCGTTCTTTCACGATAACGAACGGAATGGAACGGAACGGAGCTAACAAACACACCCAGCCCTAACTGTGACCATAATTATCCAAATATTTGGTATCAATCACTACATCCACCATTAACACAGTCTGACTTCCAAATCATACTCCCTTTTTGTCCGCGCTTATAGACACAGCGCTCCGTCAATAAATTGTTCCAACTTTACCCAACATAAAGAATATCGGACACTGCTATAGGTGAGAGTGAATTATTGAAGCCATGCCACTGGGGAGGGAGGGGGGACTGAGATATGGATAGAATATCTGAATTAAGAGTGATAAAAAAGCTTTTAAAGTTTATTGCTTCCATTTCTACTGGATGTTATATTGTACTAGCATGGGAACCCAGTTTTGCATAAAACAAAGTTTTCTTCAGAAATCCACCTATTCAACTTGGATCTTTTACACTTAAACAGAACATTCCTGTGGTTCTACAGAGTCCCCCAATAATATGAGGAAAATCGGTTATTGGGTTCCTGAGTTATGATCTGACTTACAAACAAACAAAGGTATATTCCTAGAGAACGATTTTTGGACCCCCCCCCAGCCCCCTCCCCTCCTAACAATTTTGTACATAGATCTTACAGAAAGTGTCTCAACTTAACCTAACCCATGGCCGCAGCGCTCGGCCACCTAGCCCATCCTAGCCGAAGCGCTAGGCCCAGAAAGTGTCTTAACTAACCTAACCCGTGGCCGCAGCGCT